CTTGGTGTTCCCATATCAGGTGGGAGTAGTGTTTCTGCTGATGCAGTGTCTTCTGAGTCGTCTCCTGGTGTAGATTGCTGTGTGTTTCACAGGAAAGCGGATGAATGATATCAAGTCATTGAGCTTATAAGTAGCACACTGGCAACCTGCCACTAAAATATAAATACATTAAATGTACTGAAGGAATTGTTCATTCTGTTGTTTAACGTTGGACATGTCCCAGTTAGGTAAATTTAATCTTCTTGAGAGTTGTTGCATTACAGCTGAATGAGATAGGCAGTTATCTTATTACTGATCTTTCTGTCATTCAAGGTTTGTGTTCTGGCATTCACAGTGTGAAGCGTGCTTGCTCAAGAGCTGTACTGTGAGTATTCTCCAAGGGAGATGAAGCTGCTTAGGGGATCTGGTAGTACCTTGCAAGGTCTGACCCTTTATCTCTAAAATGTTCATGCTCCTTGTCAGTCAGCATCGCTACCGGTCAGTCCCACCTCCTTTTGGATAGAAATGTACAAAATGGTTGCTTTGCCTGTGTTTGTTCGGAAGTGCCTGAAGCTCAGCCTCACAGCATTTGTTTTCTTCCCATGTATTCCTCTTGTTAGCTTGTGCTATGGGATTTTCTGCCATAATCCTTTCCAAAATCCCCGGCCGTGCCTCAGCTCCTGTTGAGGTCAAGAGCAAGGCTCCCACAAATTCCAGGGTGATCAGGGGCCAACACTAAGCAGCAGACTCAAAGCCAATCGATTGCATGAAAGAGGAGTCTCTCCATTGTTTTCCACAGGTGCTGTGTCAGGCCCTCCAAAAGTGACCCTGCAGCATTAACTCTCATGACTAATCCTGCGGAAGCCCAGGGAGCTGCTCCTGTGCGTAAGCACTGCCAAATCCAGTGTGCAGAATTAACAAGCGCTCTGCAACACTTTAGCTCTTCTCTTGGTTGTATGGTGAAGGGAAAGGATGGGGCAGCAAAAAGGGAAGCAGAAGGAGTAAATGAACAGAGAGATTCTGAACTCGTTGTGAGGAATGACAATGTTCTGTGTGGAATGCAAGTACTTAGAAAAATAAGACATTGACTGTGTGTTTTACAGATAAGAGAATGTTATTTTATTGAACAGAAAGATATATATGTTTCACCTGTTACACCTGAACTAATCAGTGTAGGCTTTTAGAAGAGGTCTGTAATTACTCTGAGCACGTCATTAGTTAGATGTAAAATGAATTATATTGCTCCATTTTATTACCTCTAGGGATATAGCCATTTGTATCATAAATTCATTGACCTCATCTTAAATGATCAATCCTGTAAGACAGACTTGATTCATTAATTCTTAAGTGACATTTTTTCTTCTCTAGTAATTTCCTCCTAACTGCCTTTTAGTCTGGTATTGTAAGGTGTCATAATACTTGCAGACAACACACATTTTATACTTCTATCTTAAATAAGCAGTGTAGACTGATTGCTTAGATAGACAGACAGACAGACAGAAAGAAAACAGTGAAATACATGGGTGTAGTAGATAGACATTTCTCACTGATGTTGACTTCAATGCTTTGAGACATTGCATATAATCAATGAGATAATTCTTAGCTATTTTGTCCATCCGGAATGTTCAGGGAAATCGAATCACTGCCTTTAATTTGTGTGGCCTTAATTAATTTTATCTAGTGATGAAATATACAGGATGGTCTGTGATCAATATGTGAGTGAGGCAGGCAGACTTCAGAATGTCTTATACCTTAGTGAATTATTGAAAACAGGAGAAATCAGTAGAGAATTTCTAAGCAGGATTTCTAAATATTTTACAGAAGAAGAGTAAATACTTGTTTAGCTAGGAGTGACACAGGAGCCCACTTGTGATAAACGAATACAGCAGCAAAACACTAAAGTATTTCAGTGAATTTTTCAACTGATAACTAATAAATTCAAATTACTAGAAAAAAATGCCACTGGTTTTTTGAGGGCTGTATTTTTCTTTCAGTCTGTTTAATTAAAAGTCACTAGTGGGTTCTTCCTAGAAGGATAAGGAGGGTGAGTTTACATTCTCAGATTTCTCAGGTGTTTGTTCAGCAGCAGAATTACAAGTTGGTTTGCTTCCTTTGCCCTGAAGGAAGGGCAAGTCTCTATAGCTGCACCACCCCAGGACTAAAATAGGGAAGCATCATCATCTGAAGTCTGGCCCCATCCCTTAACAGCAGCCACCTCTGGGGCTGGTCTTCTCCTCGTCTTTCTCCTGCAAGCAGTCTTTCTGTGGGTCATGGGCCAGGGTGGGTTTCATCCTGCCCCAGCCTTCCCCAGCAGCTGGCTGGGAGCTCCTGGTACCCCCCTGTGCAACTCGTGGGGTACATGCAGAGACCGCCTGCCTCTGCACAGTCCTTAGGGCAAAAGCATACCCTGCAAGGGGCAGAAGGATTGCAGTGGTGTGCAGCCTGATTCCGTGCATGCAAAATAGATAGCATTTGCTGGCTACAGCAGTGAGTTCCTTATAAAAAATGACTTTAAGATAAATTCAGCAGCTTTACTGAATTAAATAGTACCTTATTAACTTGCTGTGTAGACTCAAACATTCCCCTTTTGTCTGCTTGGAAAACAGTAGCAACCCAGAAAATAATCAGGAGTTCAATTCTAAGATGTTTCCATCAGATGATCCTGTGCTGACTTGCCAGGTGGGTGTCAAACCTGTGCCAAATATCTAAGATGGTTCAGTGCTCACTGCTGTGTGTTTGCACTGTGCATGGCGAGGGTTTTCCCAGCTCTGGTGTTGCCTGTGGCGGCCGCTGAGCCTTCCTGCAGGGAGCAGAGGGACAGCCGAAGCCTGGTAAATCCCAGGAGCCCTTGGAAGTGTGGGTGCCCCATGCCTGCTCAGTGCACTCCCACTTTCCATCTGCCCCACGCCTAGGGGGGATGTATGTGCCGTGGCAGTGGAGGCGTTTCTCTCGACCCTTCTGTGTATTTGACAGCCTTTTTGTCCACGTTTTTTAGGGTGCTACATCGTCAGTGTGTGTTCAGTGTGGGGCTGGACTTGTTTTTCACACACTAGAAAACTTTCTTCCTCGTGTGAGGCATCATGCTGGAAACATGCCCATCCTAATGCTACGTGCATCGAGCAGCACCAGCACCCCTCTGCTTTATCTCACATGGCACTGTGCCAGTGGGCCCAAGCTAAAAATCCGAGCCCCGTGTTCCCAAACTTCAGGGGTGACTTAATAGTTGCTATGTCTCAAGTAATTACTTAGTTTAATTTAAATGTTGGGATAAAACCTTTGTGGTAGAGAAAGAGATTGTGTGTGTAAGTGTGTGAATGGGGAGGGGAGGCAGGAGAGGGAATCAAATAGCAACCTGACTGGGTAACCAGAAGGTTGCAGAGTTAAAATAAATGGGCTAATAGCCGCAGAATATAGTGTGTTTGCATGCATATATATATATTTTAAAGATATATTACTGAAAACTCAAAAATGTCACCTCTGTTTACATTAAAGAAAACTGAGAGTTAAATGAGATGGGTAATCAGATGCCCGACATATGCTGTTTTGAATTGTTTATATGGCCAATAGTTATTAAAATTAATTATCCTTTTAATGCGGTCTTTTCACTACTTTTTTTTTTTTTTTTTTTCCAGAAGATACAGTATCTCAAAACAAGCCAGTATAGTCTATTCGGAAAAGGCAGAACAAACAATACCAGAATATATTCTGACATGGTCATAAGCTCAACGTGCTGATAGAAAGCACCCAAAATCTCAGTCAGTGACGTATTTTGATAACTAATGTAAATGACAAAAAATGGTTTTTTTTGTGTGTGTAAAATTCTGTCAAAAAAGTAAGGCACTGAAAAATCTGACATCTGTTTATCTGTTTATAGCTATGGCAAGATTACTCATATTAATTCTTGTTTAAAATGCCATATGAAGGAAAGGCATTTGTGCAAACAAGAGTCATATTTGAATTGTAGATCATGTCTTCACCATCTGTGAGAGCTGTTGGTGTTGCAAAATTAATGTGTTAATGAAATCACAATAATTTCTCTGAAGTAATGGATTCTGAAGCCTAGAATGACTATTTTTTGAACTTTGGTTTCTAGCGGTTTACAACTGGGAAAACCTTTCACAGCTTAATTAGTTCTGCAGTCTTACTTTAAAAAAAAATTGGCTGTGCCTTCACCACACCAATGGTAACACAGAAAAGGATTAAATGGAAAGCAGAGAAACAAAGCAAAAATGAGCCTGCAACGCAAACTTTTTGCTGTAGTATTTGAAAAGTTGCTCAATAGGCCCTTGCTTGCCAAGAAGTTTCACTTAAAGTAACTAGTACACAAGAGTGGGCGAACAGCTCAGAAAATAATTCCAGCTTGCCAAAACATCACAAACTGGGACTATTTGAACCTTACACAAATGTCCTGACTATTTCCAAGTTTCTCCTTGGAATGAAGGGCAGAGGATGAATGATCCTTTTTGCTTCATGATGCCATTTTAAAATACCCCACCCTTTCCAACTTACTATTTGATATCCATAAAAGAATACTAAACGTTGCAGTGTGCTGCAGTTTAACAGAATGGTTTGCATTCATTTCCAGCAACTTTCAGAGTCTTTTTCCAGTTGTCATCGTCCTTGTGTAGTGTGGCAACTCCCATGGTACAGGTGTGCTTAGATTACCACTGAGGAGTAATCACAGCCATACTCATACGGATTTTGTATACTTACCTATATGTGTTATAACAGTTTATGCTAGCTGAGGATACTTCTCTGTGATACGGGTTCAAGATATATAATGTACTGTGTAAGGTAGAATTGAGATTATGTGAGCCAAAAAAAGGGAGTGGCATTCAATTCACCAGAATTTTGAAGCCAAAAAAGCATAGTTTTCAGAAACGTAACTGGTTTTGTGTTTTTTTTTCTACTAGAAAAATAATGTGAATATTTAGAAAACAACTGAAAAATTTCTTTTAAAATAACACCATGAAGAGAAGATTGCTTTTCTTACCTGATTTGATTTTATTACTGTGTTGTAGGTATGTGACTGGTGTAAGCACATAAGACACACAAAAGAGTATCTGGATTTTGGGGACGGGGAAAGAAGGCTTCAGTTCTGCAGTGCAAAATGTCTCAATCAGTACAAAATGGACATTTTCTACAAAGAGACACAGGCCAATCTTCCAGCTGGACTGTGCAGTACATTACATCCTCCAGTTGAAAATAAAGCAGAAGGCACTGGGGTGCAGCTGCTGACTCCAGATTCTTGGAATATACCGCTAGCAGATGCTCGGAGAAAAGCCCCATCCCCAGCGTCTGCAGCTGGCCAAATTCAAGGTCCTGGACCATCAGCGTCTACCACTGCCTCTCCGTCTGACACTGCCAACTGCTCTGTCACTAAAATCCCCACGCCAGTTCCCAAACCTATTCCCATCAGTGAGAATCCAAATATTCCACCAGTTTCTGTCCAGCCACCTGCTAGCATTGTGCCTCCAATTGGTGTCCCACCTCGCAGTCCTCCCATGGTGATGACAAACCGTGGGCCAGTTCCTCTGCCCATATTCATGGAACAGCAAATTATGCAGCAAATCCGTCCACCATTTATTCGTGGTCCGCCTCACCATGCCTCAAATCCTAACAGCCCTCTGTCAAATCCAATGATTCCTGGAATCGGTCCCCCGCCAGGTGGTCCCAGAAATATGGGCCCCACCTCTAGCCCCATGCACAGGCCGATGCTTTCCCCTCATATCCACCCCCCCACAACACCCACCATGCCTGGAAATCCTCCCGGCCTGTTGCCGCCTCCCCCTCCCGGAGCTCCTTTGCCCAGCCTTCCCTTTCCCCCTGTCAGCATGATGCCAAATGGTCCTATGCCTATGCCACAGATGATGAACTTTGGATTGCCGTCCCTCGCCCCACTGGTGCCACCCCCGACTCTACTAGTGCCATATCCCGTCATTGTCCCTTTGCCTGTCCCCATCCCCATTCCCATCCCCATCCCTCACATCAATGACTCCAAACCCCCCAATGGCTTCTCCAGCAACGGCGAAAGCTTCATTCCAAGTACCTCCAGCGAGACGCCTGGGGCAAAGCCAACCAATAGCTCTTCATCCCCTCGAGAGTCAAAGCAAGGATCGTCTAAATCCTCTGACTCATCACCGAGCTGCTCAGGCCAGTCCCTAAATCAAGCTCAAGTGCTTCAGGAGCACAGTAAAAATGAAGTTGTTGACTTGACTGTCAGACCTAGTAGTCCAGTGAACAGCAAATTTGGTTTCCCCAGCGTGCTACAGGGTCCACAGGACGGTGTGATAGACTTAACGGTAGGCCACCGGTCTAGGCTGCACAATGTTATCCACAGGGCTTTACACGCCCAAGTGAAAGTGGAACGTGAACCTAACAGTGTTGTAAATTTGGCTTTTGGTAGCTCAGACAAAAGGAACTGCAGTGACTGCAGGGACAACTGCAGCCCAGTTGACTCAAAAACGTTACCGTGCAGTGACGGAACTCACTGCTGTCCTGTCTCCTTAGCCTCCAGCACACCGGGACTGGAAACTAGCGCAGCGGTGTGCAACGTCATTGTGAATGGCAGCAAGAGCACGGAGGGTTCCAAGAACCCGGAGCCGCCCCAGGAGTCGAAAAAGCCCCAGCCTGCGGAGGAGCTGGCGGTGAGCGAGCTGGAGTCCGTTAAGGAGAACAACTGTGCATCAAACTGCCACCTCGAGGGAGACGCCGGCAAGAAGCCTGGGGAGGAGCCCCTTGCCGGGGGAGACAAACAGGACCCGAACCTGAACAACCCAGCAGACGAGGACCATGCGTACGCTTTGCGGATGCTGCCCAAGACAGGCTGCGTGATCCAGCCTGTGCCAAAACCAGCAGAAAAGACTGCTCTCGCGCCGTGCATTATCTCAACGCCAATACTCAGCACAGGGCCAGAGGATCTGGAGCCACCATTGAAAAGGAGGTGCCTCCGAATTCGAAATCAGAATAAGTAAAGGTTTGTGTAATCACTACTGCCTTCTGTGTGAATAGAATGAGCATTTTCGGGTACGAGGTCAAACTCCTGTGGATGTGGCCTTTATGAAACAAAAAGATACAGGTTCCAATTTATCAGCGCTTTCAGAAAACTGTTGGTATTTCTGTTTTAATATTGTTCTTTGTGTTGTATTGCATCTGTACTTGTCAGTACTCCATCCATCAGCAGCCTCGTTACACTTACAGAACATTTCACGACGGTGCTGGCTGTGAAGTTATTGTGCTGTGTATGTCAAAATCAGTGGTTTTCTGCCTAGGATATGGTTTAGGTCTGGGCCATTAATCTGTTTACTTATTCCAGCTGAGTTACACAGCAACTCAAGCCTTCACGATGATGATTGGAAGTGCCCTGCAGCATAGCATAGAACAGGATGACCCAGCTGCTCCCTGCTAGCTCAGATCCAATTGACTTACCAAACGGTCATTTCCAACCATCTTACTTTGGTCTGCCTCAACATCACAACCTGGCTTTCAGCTGGGTTGGTCTCTGGGGAGTGAACCCTCTCTCCCTGAGCTTTTCTTCTGTGGGTATCGGTGCTTAGGGACTGCCTGCTGTTTGGAACCTGTCTGCTGTAGCTTATCTCAGCAAAACGCGTGCCATGGGGCTTTACCCTCTTACCTGAGGTATCTGCCTTTGGTGCACGTCTCCCACCTTAGAAAAGCAGTTGAGGTTTCCCCCAGCCCTGCAGTTGTTGCATGTGTGTGATTTCTGGTAGGGCTGCAAAGCAAGGCAGAGAAATGCTAAGTCCATCAACAACCATGGCTTGCCCAAGGACAATGCTCCAGCAGCAGAAACACTCCATCCCTTCATTCCCTATTCCCAGCTTACTGTATCCCTCTGATAAAAAGTGCCTTTGTAAAACTGTTAGGTTAATGTATGTTTGTTGCATCAAACCTGTGAGCAAGAAACAAATGTAATTGCATTTGTTTAGATTCACGAGCGTGGAGATCTTCTTTCAGGAAAGGGGAAAATGGTGGGTGTTGCAAGAAATCTGTTCCACAGTAAAAAATACTGACAGTTTGCTGGATGTGGCTTGATGACATGCCAGTTTTCATTACAATCCATGGAATATTCTGTAGCCTCCAGTAAATCCCTGTCCCTGGTAGCACAAATAGTGACTGCAACGGCGCAGTACAAATATTGCCTTGAAGGGATTGGCACCTACACCAGTAGATAGCAGTGCGGGCTGTGGAATCTGGGCCATTGCAGCATCTCCCTGCTCCATCAGTGGAGGCTAATTGCACCATCAAAGATACCACAGTGTAGTCAGGACTCCCTTCGTATTTGTTAACACTGAGTTCTCTGAGCTGGCTGCAGTGCTAGAAACATTACTTTCCTTGATCACAAATAGTATTTATTTACTATCTTTGGTGGAACAGAACCATTATTCTCTGCTCCCGGCATGTGCTGACACATTTAAAAGATACGTTTGTAAGAACAGATGACAACTGTAACTTTCTTGGACTCATAACTAACATATACAATAACTCAGAATATGTAAAATCTTTACATGCTCCTAGGCCCTGCTACAGGGAATCCCCCTACCCATGCCTGGGGTCTGGATGGATTATATGTTCCTCTCAGCAGCAAGATCTTTACTAAACACCCCCTGGTGTGCCAACTCTGGAGCTTGGAAGATTATCTCTTCATAAACAAACACTTGATTTTACTTGTGAGTTGTGATTTGAACTACTGAGAAGGCTGCTATTTGACTGTATCCCTCTTATTTAAATCTAGGAGAGCTGTGGTTAACCCATCCTTTCCCACTTTGCACAAGCTCCCCATAGCTGTGGTTTACTTCAAGCCAGTGCTAAGAGACTTGTACGTTTGGGTGCTGACAGTGTAGTCAAGGACAGGCTGGTTCTTAGCATTTATTTATGCTTGCCCAGACCATTCAGGCTGCAGTAATGCCACCTTTCCAAGGTCCCAATCCCTATAGGCGTTTAGCATAATCCAGAGTCAAAGCCTTAAAACTCAGAGAGAATTCTGGCTTCAGTGAGTTGTGTACTTTGGGCTGTTGTCACAATTCTGCCTTGAATCATTTCACAGATAGTATTTGACAGAGAAGGTGGGCAAACTGAACAAGCTGCACTGAAAAGGCAAGAAGGATGCTTCATCACCCAGTTATTGTCCTCAGCTCTTTATATTCTCTAAATGCCAATAACTGCCACTGTGATTATCCTCAGGAATAGCCATTTTCCCATTCACCAAGAGTTTTATATATTTCTTTGTCTCAGAGTAAGGGTTGTCCTACAGGAAAGTTTTCAGGTTGCCAAGCAAGATTAATCTGACCCAATGTAGACATCTGTAATGAAGACACAGCTAAACTAATTTTCTAAACTCCGCTTAAAATCAACCTAGAGAAGCAGGAACTTCAAAGAGAGAGTTGAGCTCATCCTGAAGTCAACAACTAAGATAGCTCAGAGGAATTTTGCTCCAGGAGTTGCCTATTTCTCCCTGCTGGGAAGGAAACTTAGGGTGACTGACACAGACATAGATGTCCCTTTAGACACTGTAAGTTAAAAAGCCCGGCCTAGGTGTCCGCCTCTGGGGTTTGTGCAATAGCATAGCATGGCATGGTGATAGTTACTAGTCAGTCTGTGTTCATCCCCTCCTTTCCCTGCAAAAAGAAATGCCTCTATGCAGAAGAGATATGAAACCATGATCCTCCTTGTGTGCTTCAAGGGCAAGAGGATATCCAAAATACTCCGCAGAAATAAACAGCATGATAACCATCTCATTCCAGTGGGTACCTCAGTGAAATGTGGGTGGGTTTCGAGCCTCTCAAGGCACGCACAAGTGATTTGTGCAGCTCTGATGATTGATTTGAGGTGAAGACTCTTTGGTTTCATGCAGAACCCTCCTTTCACTAGTGCTGGCAAGAGCCAGCCCAGGGAGCAGGGGGCTACTTAGATTTGTGGCCTCCCAGCAGTCTGTCTATGAAGGCTGCACAGGGCTCAGAGCCTGCCCATGTCTGTACAGTGAGGACGAGCAGGGGGAGCGGAGCATTGGTGCAGCCCCTTACGCTGCAGCCCCGACCTCCACCATTCCCATGAGTTCCTCTTCCCCAGTCTGGGGAAGGGTGGAGGTAAAACCCTGCTCCTTTGACAGTATGGTTGTGGGAGGATCCCTCATGAGAGATTCCCAACCTCATAGAAATTCTGCTAAAATACAAAGAGGGTAGGAGCTGCACTAATAATTGTGCATATTTGGGCCCTTTGAGGTTTGCATTGGTTTTACCCAGCCACACTAACCTGGGAGAAGAAAAAGTCCAGAGTCTTTTTCTTTCTTGCTTCTCACCTACCCTAACTGGAAAATCTGAACATATTGCCCTAATGTGCTACTTTTCCTGGATTTTATTTCCCATCAAATTTTACGAAAAGAAGAACATTAGCCAAATATTTTTACGCTAGAGTTCTGGACAGGCAGATTGAATTCATATAATAGCAACATGGACTCTCTAAAAAGAAATCAATGCAAGCATGACCTTTTTGGGCAATTTGCCAAACTCTGGATTATTTAATGTACCAATTGCTTGATTATTGGAAGTGCTAATCAGCAACATAATCCTTAATGTTAGAGTTTAGTCTCTCCATCAGGATGTGGACTGTCAAGCTGTTCTAACCTGAAGCAATTCAAAGAACCAGCAAAAGATGTCTCGGTGCCAAAGTCCTACTATGATAAAGGAATGAAGCTAGGAAGAATATTCTGTTGAGTGTTATTTTTTCAAGTTTGAGCAGTGTCTTTCTAAAATTAACAGTGTTAAGTTTTGCCTGCCTACATGCTTTACATCCAGGCAGGATCAGTTTTAACCCTCCAGTTTTGGTGTCAAGATTTCCTAAAGCAAATAAATGGAAACAATAAGGTTTGCTTGGATTGAACATGATAGTTGTGGTAAATTAAATTAGAAAATTAAGTAGCACACGCTAAACTCACAACTGGATTCTGTGTGCGTGTGTGTGTGTGTACTAATCTTATGTTGGGGACAGAAGCGAATTTTTCTGCTTGTGTCAGCAGAATTTCTGCCAGAAGGAATGAAACTAGTAAGAGTATGGCCACCTAAAAAGCCAACCTGTATGTCCTGGTGTCAGCATCTGCTGACTTATAGGCCAAATCCTCCAGCTGTCTAGTCCATACATTGTAGTCATAAAAATATACAACATGCAGAACACTTCAGTTCAGAGCAGAAGTAATATAAATCCCACTGTGAGCTCCCCTGCCCATAATGGCCCAGCACAAGATTTCCTGCTCTGGTCAGGATTCCTGAGGAAAGAGGCATAGCTATTAACCTTCCTTTCTGCCTTAAGAGTTTTTATCGCTCCCCTGTCACTGTAGCATCTATCTTCCAGCATCTTACCCTGCCCTCCTCCCTCTGATCAGGATAGAATTTGACCTTAAAGTTACACTTGAAAACAGCTTTTATATATTTAAACCACATTTTTATGGTAATCATCTTCATTGACACAGTACCATGGGCCAGAGCCTTAGCTCGTTTTAACTGGATACCGTTCCACTGGTGCTAAACTAATTTAAATCAGCAGAGTAATTGGACTCATACACTTAACACCTACTCTTCTGGTTCAGAAGTATTCCTTCATCTGCCTTCTTATGAGTCTACAGAAATTTTCCATTTATGCGAAGGGGGAGAGGAGAGACTGTTAACACGACAAAGCCTTAAACACATTTGCTTGGAACTGAGGCTTTGCCCTTGAGAGCTGCCTGGCTCTAGCAGTGGGATCTTAAGTTTCAAAATTGCCTGTGTAGCTTCTCAGATAGACTAAATCAGAAAAAAGGATTTCCCAGGGGGAAAAAAAAAAAAAAAAAGAGGAAGAATTAAAAAAAAAAAAATCTCAAAATGGTGACATATAAAATGACATACTTCCAGGGTAGCTTTCAGGTCCCACATCTTGCTCAGTGGCAGTAAATAGCAGGCTCATGGTAATGCTGATATACATAACT